CCCCGCGGAGGGGCCGGGAAGGGGCTCCGCGCTGTGCGGGGCCCCGGGTGGTTCCTCCCGCGTGTCCCGTGCAGGGACCGGCTCCGAGCTGCGGAGCTGCCGCACACGGTGCCTCCGTCCCGCCCTGGGCTCGGCGCTGAGCCCACGCGGGGTGACCGTGGGCAGAGGTGTCCTGGCTGGTGGCCGGGGACTCGCTCTCTGCCTCCCTGTCACCACAGTCCCCCGGCTGTCCTGTGCGGGGCCCCGGGTGGTTCCTCCCGCGTGTCCCGTGCAGGGACCGGCTCCGAGCTGCGGAGCTGCCGCACACGGTGCCTCCGTCCCGCCCTGGGCTCGGCGCTGAGCCCACGCGGGGTGACCGTGGGCAGAGGTGTCCTGGCTGGTGGCCGGGGACTCGCTCTCTGCCTCCCTGTCACCACAGTCCCCCGGCTGTCCCCGCAATGCCGGGGCAGAGCTGCCAGAAATGCCACCTCCTTGGCGCTCGTATCCCCTGCACACGCTGCTCTGCTCAGGGGATGCCTGGATCCCCCTAGTCCTGTGGGCACTGGGGGCACCAATGGGTGCCCTTGGGTAAAGATCGTGGCCCAGAGCTCTGTCCAGGGCCCGCCCGTGTGACATGGCAAGAAGGCATCTTGCAAGTGCGTTGGAAGTAACCCCAGTGCAACAAGGGTGAGGGCACGAGGTTGCAGCCTCCCCTCTGCACATCTGGAGGACACAGAGAGGGGCTTGTGTTGCTGAATAAAAGCAGCCCACACATGTGTGCAAAAGGCTGCAGGCCCACAGAGTCATTCCTAACACTCGAAAGGCCAAATGCTGCAAGGAGATGCGTGTCCAGAGCAGGGTGCAGGATCCTGCTCATGTGCACAGGGTTTGACTGGGGAGAAGAGCCAGGTCATGCAGGGTGGAAACCCACACACACCTGCCCAGCTGCAGCTCATCCTGCTGTATTGATTAAAAGCCACATTTTGGGTTCAGCTGTATTGACTTAAGGCATCCAGGGAAAGGCAAAGCAATAGGGTTTGGAGAAATCACCATTCTGCATTAGACAGAAGCCTTCCCTGACAGGGAATTTCTCCACCTCTCACCATCCATCCGCCAGGCCAGCGCAGATCCGCGTTGACGGGATGCGGACAGAGCAGATGGGATTTCAAGCTCAAAGCCCCATCGTGTCCCCGCTGCCCGTGTGGGTGCGGAGGGAAACGCAGCCGCGCGGGGCAGAGCCGCAGCCGGGCACGGCGGCCGCCTCCACATGGCAACCAGGGCTCCACGTAAATAAATAAACCCCAACCTTTGCACTCCTGACACGGGCCGGCCGCAGGGCAGATAGTTTATCTGCTGTTCCCCACGGCGTTTATTTATAGCACCTAGGACAAAGGCAGTAAAAATAAAACCCAGGGCCGTGTGTGCTCGTTACAGCAATGCAAAACACACCGGTGCCCGTGCCGAGGGGCAGGACCTGTCCCCACGCACACTCCGGCGCTGGGAACCGCGGTCCCGGGCTGCGCTCCGCTCTGCAAAACCCATTACTGGCTCTCGAGCCAACACACATATTTTCCTTAGGACAGATGTGTGCAAAACTGCAAATTCATGGATGCTCGGCCAGGGGAGTTTGCTTTTCCCCTCCATTCATCTGCCTGGTGATCGCTAATGGTGAGGGAGTGTTAGAGAAGGTCCTGCTTTGAAAGGAAACTGCAGGTCGCGGGACCACGGAAAAGGACTTTTTCTCCTCTCCCACAAAACTCAGGGATAAGAGTATCTTCTGTTTCACATCAAAGTGAAAATACAACTTTCCCAAGCATTACATAGAGGCCAGGGAGCCTCCGGATGCCGCGAGCCAGTGACTGATGCATTAAGCTGGAGCTCTATAGGGTCAAATGCAGGAGCAGAGGCAGCCGGGCTCAGCTCCTTGACCCCATCGCCAAATTTCTGGCTGCTTTTTCACATTTCTACACAGATACATTCGGTCTCAAGTCAGATAAAATTACCTTCCCATCACAGAAAGAACTGACTGCTTTTCCCAGCAGATTTGTATCCATGTATTCCCAGACTTACACGGCACAAATGCTGCAGCCGGCCTGGTAGGAAACCACTCTTTGATGCCAGGTTTGGACCAGGACTCCCATCCTAAACTGGAAAATCCATTCTAGACAAGCAGGGTTAAAAGTGGGTTAGTCGCAAGTGGGATGTTTCTCAAAATACTTATAAATTGATGTTTTGCAAGACGCCCTCACCAGGACATTGTCGTTGGAGACCTCTTGTGCCCCACGTCAGATGTGTCACCACGTCAAATCTGGGGGGTTTCACTTCTTGCTCCCCAGCAAGTTTTTGGAGAGGTTCTTGGCTGTTCAGCGCTGGAGCTCAAGCCCTCAGTTACTGCTTCTCCCCAAAGTGCCAATTTTTCCTAATAGGGATGAAAATGCAGATTAATTTTAAATGTCAGTAGCAGACTCGGTGCTACTCCCGATGCAAAACTATTAGAAATATTATTTTGAAGCTGGCATTTCAAGGAATCCCAGAGCTGATGATATTTCCTCACGTGATTAATGAATGGCTTTAACTCCGAGACAGCGCCGGGTCCGGCAAGAAGAGAGCAGTCGATCTGGCCACGGCATCCCTGGCACCGCGGCCAAACTGAAAAACGTGATTTGGAAAGAACAAAAGGCTGCTGAATCCTCCGCTTTTCAACCAGGCTCAGCAGTGAGACAGCCTTGAAATGCAGCAAGATGCAATCGCAGATGAACTAAACCCTGAGCTAAATTGTGAGGAGCGGTACCTGCACCAAGGGATGTTCTGAAGGCAAAATGAAAGGATCTCGCGTAGAAGTAATTATGTTTTCTGGGGACATGGATGAGGCTTCCTCATATCAACCTTTGCTTGGATTCATCCCTCCTGTTTGGCTTCAGCTAGAAAACGCAAGTGAAATAGGAAAAAAAATGTAAAAAAAAAAAAATCTTTTTCGCCACCCCCCACAGCAAAGGAAAGCATGGCATGAGAAGCCGGAGAAATATGGATGCAATATAGAGGGAAGCCTTCCTCCTCCTCCTCCTCTCACTTGCTGTTTGAAAGCTGCTCTGACACGGAAAGTCTCATTAGCTGGAGAGCAGACAGAGCCTTAAGGGGAGGAAAAACCCTCCTCTGTTCCTGCTATGCTCAAAATCCAGCCCCAAAATCCAGCAGCCGCTGCTGGGGCCTTCCCCTCTGTGTCTTATCGGGTACCCTCTATTTCCACTTCAATCACAGCCATCACTGCAGCTAAAGGCCGGTTTAATTGCAGGTCTTAGCCCGCTCATTAGTGAGCTGAAAGGAAGCTCACTAGAAATCCGCAGCTCCTGTTCCGCCGGAGGACTAGACACAATATGGGATAACGGGAAACCTGTCTGCGGACTCAGCTTTCCCAATCCCAGCCCTGGCTCGATGCTGTCTCAGCAGCGGTGGCTTCGACAGGCGGCTCGGAAACCCTCCTGCTGGCATTAAAAAGCCCCCAGATCCCTGGGAAATAAAGGGGAAAGGTGCAAGGCCCATGTCCACACAAACAGGAAAAACCTAGTGACAAAGAGCGCTGCGTTTGCCCAGAAAAAGGCACTGGGAGCACTTGCCTCCTGGAGAAAGCAATAGCTTGCAGGAACACCTACCACGTGTTGCCCTGGGTGGGCATTTAATCACTTTGTGTGTCTTCAGGCCCAAGGGTCACCCATCCCCTCTCCGGTTTCCTACGCAAAACGAGATCCCCCCTCCGCTGCCCCAAGGAGTTTGGGGTTTCAGGCACAAACACCACAACGCTCCTGATTGCTTCCAAATGTTTCCCGGCATCTCGTCATTACGCGAAAATGAAGGTTTTTGGCATGGGGAACTCCAGCCACGCCGAGCGGCGCGGATCGTGCGCAGCGCTCGGCACGGGAGGGCAGCGAGCGCGAGGTTTTGCTTTATCAGAGCCCTGCACGTGCCTCCGAATTGCCCACGCCGAATATTTACTAGCCAACATCTCCTCAAGATTCACGTTCGCTTGGCAGAGCTGGCTGTGAGCACCAGGCCACAGCAGCTTCTGAGGACAATCTAGGGCTCCTGGGGAAAAACAG